AAAGAGTGCTTACAGCTTATGGACATCCCCAATGGCTATTTCTGCTCCATTTTTTTAACCTCCTTTTGTACTAGAGGCACCCTGTAACAACAACATTTCTACAGAGGCACAACTTGGAAGTCAGGACCAACATGTGGCACTCATTTTTTGTGATGACATTTCAAATGACAGGAAGTGACAACATGACAAGTGAAAGAACGCTTCCTGAAACTGCACATTTATTTAAAATGGAGAGTCTGGACAAATAAAACAAGGAAATAAAACTGCAATTTGGGGTGGGGGTTTTTTTTAAAGCTATAAAAAGTGAGCTTGCAATTGTGGTGCTTTAATGCCCATGGGGGGGCGGGGGGGGGAACCACAACCACAAAATCCAAAGGGGGATGCTGGATTTTACCATTTCTTTTCTTTTTGAAGTTAAGCTACTATCTCATTTTCTCTTGCTGAATCTTTCATTTCAACACCCACAAAGTTCCTGTTTTGTTTTGTGTAGTGTTGGGGAGGTTTTTTTTTTTCTCTTTAACTTAAAGGTAATAACACTTTAAAATGCTTCATAATACTCAGTAATTTGAGTCTCCTGGTAGCTGAGATTCCAGGATGTTTCATCTATGAAATTAATCATATGCAATTAGCAAACTGATGAAAGAACAAAATGGAAGAGAAGACTAATACGAATCTTGAATCATCACTGAGGACAGGAAATTAAATACACAATGTTGTCAACAGTTACTCCTGCCCACAGTCTTAACACATATCAGTATTTTAATCTCTATAAGAAAGATACTGTGAACAAAGCTAGGAGAGCAGTTAAAAATATATGTACATTCTTGTCCAGATACAATACTAGTGTACAATTTTCAAATGACTGAAGCTTAAAACTTGTAGTCCAAAAAACTTTCCCTGAGAACGAAATACGGGGACAGGAACGGCACCAGTTACGCTAATTACCCACTGTCTTGATTTAACTTACCATGAAAACAGAAACACAAGGGCAAAACGAAATCATACATATTAGCTGGTAAAAAAATTAGGGAAAGGGCATTTAAGAAAACCCACAAAACACCACAAACACTTTCTACTTCACTTTCCAGAAAGTCAGATGCTCACAAAGAGATTTCACAGATGAAGAAAGTCACTGATCTCATTCATAGTGACAAAAAGGAACTCAAGTATTAGATGAGATTCATTTTCAATTTGCCTTTTGAAAAGAAAAACACCTGACATGTACCCTTTGTCTGCTTAATGTAGTCAATATTCTTTAAGAACCAATTCTGGCAAATTTCCTGGTAGAAGCAAAAGGGAGATTATTGCTCAGTGCTATGCAAGACTTTTCTGGCAGCAAGGTCATGTAACAGTGAACGGACAACCAACCACTTCCTGTAGCAAGTAAGTCAAGAGCAGTTGCTGTGCTGAAGTACATGTCCTTTGTGACAATCTCCCTAAGAGTAGTTCATACAGGAACTATGAGTATGAATTTGTTAACATTGCCCAGCTGCAGCGGGATCAACCTCTGAAGACATTCTGCAATCACAGTGGCATAGCTACCAGCAGTTTTACAGGGGCCAGATTTCATTTACATTTTAGTGATTCAGGCAAAATGACATTTGAGGCAGTTAGTTCCCTACTGGACTGACCAAAACAGTCAAGAGTGCCCTGCTTTATACAATATCAAAGTGTAGATGCACTGCTCCCCCCTCCTTTCAACACTGCACATGAAACAGAATTCAAGACAAGTGCAGAAACTACACCTTGCCTCTGTTCCACATGGTGCTTCTCACAAATGCAACTTGCCTTGCGCTTTTGCAAGTTCCTCTACTCAAAAGAAACTGGTGGCTGTGGGGGGACACAGAATATTGATTTATCAGGAATGTCAATACCACGTAAATCAGAAGGGTTATGGATTACTGTTAGTCTCATGCTCTTGAATTTGTTGCCTGGGGAAAAAAAAAAGCAGCAGACGACCCTTACCGAGCATGGTTTCTCAGGGTCACTGGCAGTCATGCCACTCTGCAAAACCTTTGATCGGTCAAAGCAGAATTTGTGCAGCTATGCCAAAACTAGCAAACATTTCTATAACCAGTTAGCACTGTACCTGTTTCAGTACTGCCAGCAACATTTGTTCAAACATAAAAAACCCAGTTGATTCTAGAGCAAACCACATTGTCTCTTTCTAAATCCATAAAAGTATTTTAAAAGAGCTACCTAGTTCAACATATGTATCTAAAAGGAAATAGTACCTTTAATGTTCTAGTTGGAGCCCAGCCAGTGCCATCAATTGAATGTTCTCTCAATAAACTGGAAAAAAGACACACACATATTATACAGTGCAACTTCTAGTTAAACAGCCTTTGTCAGAAACCTTCTCAGAAAACATTAAGAACTTAGGAAGTAATTGCAACATAAGAACTCTCTCTCGCACTATATCTAGGTATTGGGATTTTAAAGTACAAGAATTGGTATGTCTTCCTAGAACTACTTTCCACATAGTGTCATTACAGATCTCCTGATCTGAGCTCAACCTTTGTCAAAAAACTTGAATTATTTTCATCAAGCAAAGTAAGTGTGACAGAAATCCTTGCAACAGTCTCAACACTGAACCTTTATTTTCCCCTGAGCACACAGACACATGTTCCAGTTTAGAACATGTTCATCTTTGGTGAACAGACAGGCTTGTAGAATGACCCATCTCTCACCAAAACTGGCAAAATTCAATCCAAAAAAGGGTATTTTTGTTGGGATAACTTATTAGCAAGAAGGAGGATTGTCATCCTCTCTTCTGTGAAAAGACTTCAGCTTCTTAGAGGCAGGGATAGGAAAATGTAATTGTTTTGGTCTGTCTGCTCAGGAGTGTTCTGCAACAGCTGTAATATGCGTGGACACATCTTGACCCTCTTGGGGACACAGCGCAGGACAGTCTAGCAGCCGGGTCTTACAGTCCTCTTCCAGCAGGTGAGCTGTATCGCCCAGAGAACACTTTAAGGCTGTACAGATAAACTCAACACCATGCATCCCTGACTGGGAATCAGGATGAAGATGACTCTGGGCAAGAGAGGTTGCTTACAGGAGAAAAAAGTTCTTATAAACTATAATACATGTTCCTGAATTTTAATATAAATAAATATTCATATTAACATGAACAATTAAGAGACAGACTTTCCTACATCCACATATACTGAACAGAAATTTTATATGACCTGCACATTATGCTACATATTAAGTCCAGTTGACCTGTTTGCAAGTTGAAATAATTGTGGTGTACCCAG